AGATTGAGGCCAAGCATCACCTTGAACACAAAATAAAAAAATTAATAAACTAAATTAAGTTAACAATGTAATAATCTGTGACATAAACCCACTTGCTATTGCAAAAAGCAAAAACTAGACATTATCTAAAATTAAACAGTATAAAAAGAACTTTCTTCTACTCTAGATTGGCTAGCAAGTTATTTTTATGGCTCGAACCTGTATTTACTTAATCTGAATTATCAATCAGATTTAATCCGGATGATCGCTGGAAAATAGGATCGAAGATCTAATTCTTGGCAATAACCAAGTCACGTGCCTGCACTTGTGTAACATAGTCGAAAGCCTTACTTAATGATACGGACTGACCCGGCCCACCGACCTGTGGCCGAGGGTCGACCTGCACCTTTGTGGGCGACCCGGCAGATGTATAGATAAAATTTTCTTTGGCCAATAGAAACGCATGAAAGAATAAATAATGTAAATGTGGTTATGTGTGATTTTGTTATTTGGGATTTTTTCGATAAACTTTGATTCTAGGGTTTTTTAATTTATATTCGGTGCGGGAACGTTTTATTTTATATCTTTTCAAGCGTGAATGATGATTTCCATACACCCATGGAAATCGGGAGATTGAACAGTAAACATTAAAATCCGTTTATTCTGAATTCCTGGTTTCCCACGGAAATATGAATGAAAAACGGCTACAATATAAACAAATGTTGAAAATCACGATATGGGACATATTAAATCATATGTCCCATATCGTGATTTTCATAGCAAAGGCCCAAATAATATTTTCTTTCGTGTCATCGTTTTGTTATTGTGCGATGATTTTTTTAAATCAATCAATTATCAATATCATTTTTATTATTACTCGATACGGGATCTTTATTTAATGCAATTTTTTATTCGAAAAGAAAAGTCCAAGGTCGGCTGGCCCGGCAGACCGGGCCGATGTTTTTATCGGCCGGGTCGGTCCAGGGTTTTATCATCGGCCCGTATCACTAAGTGTAGCCAATGGACATATAAAATATATGGACATGAAATTGGACACTGTTCATAGACTGTTGGGTTGCGGAGTCTGCGGGCCGCAACAAATTTTAAATTCCCGCAACCAAAATCTGAAGTGCATATGCGAATTTTACCTATAAATTTTAACTAATGTTTATGTGCGCAACCAAATTTTTATAATCCACAAGTCGTTTTATTTAATTGTTTGCAGGTCCGCAAAAATTAAAAATTGAATTCCAGACACTGCCATGGACTGTCTAATAATTTTGCTTGGCATAAGTCCTGGGGCTTTATTTGTGACTATTTTCATTTTTTGGGCCTTTATTTGTAAAAAAGATGAACACGTAATTATACAGAAGAATTATGAAAATTGCGACATTATATACCTTAATTTAGTTTTCTTTTTAATAGTAAATGTAGGTCGTATAACAGGTATTATACGCCAAATAGACTCAATTAAATTCATTTTGATTTATTTGTTATAAAAGAAAAAAGAAAATAAACCCGTTATTGGATGTTTCGCATCCAATAACAGCGTGAACGCCGGGTGTTCTAATTTCTCCTACCACTTCTGTTTGGATATATGAAAATGATATTTCTGATTTAACAAATAGATCACGCTACCAACTAAATTACAAGATTCAATGTAACATAAAAATTAAGAAGTTTTTCAAAAATCGTTGATAACTTGTAATTACTTGTAAAACTACCTTTCGTGTCTTAATAAAAAAATTTTATTGCAAATTTTAGTAGTAATCATGTCTTATTTTCCCTTAATACCAGGACTAATAATATTTTGTATTTTATTTTATTTTTTTGCCATTTTTAATTCTCTTCGGTCATATCAGATCAGCTTTGTAATCAATTTATCCAATCAGGAACGGGATTCTAAGCGTCCAATAGGAACTGGGTAAAATTAATGAATCCCCTGAGCCCCTTCGGAGCACATTAAATTCAAAGTCAGATGCTTCTTTTATTTACCATGTGAAACGATCATCCTGTTATTCGAAGGATCACAGTTATGATCTTTCACCTGCCAATTAAAACTGGTTTGGATTCTACACATCCAATAATTAATATAGCAATTTAATAAAACATTTTAAATGATCAATGCTACTTTACATAACCTGATTTCAAAAATAAATTGACCGTTATATCCGAATATCAATTTAACTGAAGGTTAGGTTGTTAATGGAGTGGGTTGGGTTAAAATTAGATGGAGCAGACCTTACTCCAACCCGACCTAGGTTATATTTAAACTAACACTCCAGGTTGTACTCCGGGTTGTGCTCCAGGTTAGTGCTCCAGCTTAATGCTCCGGGTTATAAGAATAACTTTTCTCCAGACCACTCCATATGGAGCAACCCAAGCTTTGCACTAGATCACTCCATATAAGCATAGGCGGCTTCATTACGATTGGCTAATATACCTATAAAAACGCTCTATAGCTAACTCTCTTAATTATTCCTCCATTTTCGTGTTTATTTTGACAGTATATAGAGCTAAAGGTGTAGTTTCTGAATATATATTCGGCCCACCTGGACAATTCGTTTAAAGTCAGATAATATATGCGGTATATGTGTCGATATATTTCAGTAATTAACCAATTGGATTTAAAGACCACTATGTTGCTCCAGGCCACTCCATATAGTGCAATCAAAGGTTTTGCTCCAGATCATTCCATATGGAGCAACCCAGGTTTTACTCCAGGTCACTCTATATGGAGCAACCCAGGTTTACTCAGGTCACTCCGTATGGATCAACCCGGGTTTTGCTCCAGGTCATTCCATATGGGGCAACCCGGGTTATAAGAAATAACTTTGCTCCGGGTTATTATATAATTCTTGAAATTTCAACCCTAAACTGGAGTATAACCCGGGTTGCTCGGAGTATGTTACTCCATTAACAACCCTACTGAAGGTATTTCACATTAAGTATATAGGCTGTCGGTTTATATGGATTTCTTTATATTGTAATCAGGTAAAATGTAGTAACAATGGCCTTCAACGAGTTGTATAGTTCAAATTTTTAGATTTGGTAAATTTAAACTATATTTGATGTAATTATGGTGAAGTAGTAAGATATAAAATTAATATATAGTTAAAATTATGTGATTGTTTTAATAGATCTTGTTAAAGTATCTCATTTGGTGAAAGTTAGCAAAAATTTTCAGAAAACTGAAATTTAGCCAGCTTATTTGAAAATTTTGTCTTTGGTATTTGAACTTTGCCAGAGATGTTACTTATTCTAAAATTTATATTTGAACTTTGCCAGAGATGTTATTTATTCTAAAATTTATATAATAAATTTATTATATTTGCAAAAATTTCTGTTCTACACACCATATTTCCGATCATTTATTAGTAAAGATATTTCTCCAATTTTATGAGTATCCTTTGTGTTGTTTGAAGTATTTGACAAAGCAATATTTCAAAGCGAGTGTTGCCAAATGAAAACTTCCATAAATTTTGCCAAGTTACAGGTCTGACAATATTTAGACGCATTGATACTTTTATTACTTCCATTACAAAATGTTATATTATTGTTCTGTGCATGTAATTGTTAGGGTTCTCTAAACCTTCGATTTACTTTTTTCTAGTTTTATAACTTATATTTAGTGTTTGTGCTTCATCTCATTTGTTTGTTGCCATTTTATTGTCGGTTTATACTCTTAGATAGAAAGCCATATTAAAAGTTCGTATGGGATTTATATATTAAAGTAGACTTCTTAACGTTATTCTGCCTTCCAGAGCATCAAAGTATTTATTATTATTTTTTAAATACAATATTCAAACCAGACATGCAAATACATACTTGTTATAGAAAATATTTCCCTTCTTGAATTTATATTTTTTTTAGCCAAGTATCTGATACAATGCTTAATTTTAATCACTAAATTAGTGAAGACTTTTGTATAAGATATCATTTTGCCGGGATATAATTATTAGACATCTAGCTTTTGAGAATATATTACCTTGTTAAAAGAAAATCGAATAGATAAAGCTTATTGATTCATTATTTGTCTTTGCCTAATAGTTACAGTAGTAGCAATCAAATATTCAGATAATATATATTTGTACTAATATCTCTGCTTATTTAAAAACAAATCAATGTTCTTTTAATAAAATTGTGGCAACAATTATGTTGATTCGTCCAAATATATTAATTAAATATTTAAATGTATTTACAGAAATTAGTATTATAATTTGGTTAGAAATATTTTATTCCTCATCCGGGTGAGCAATTCACCCCTTAAGAAACAATTTGCAGCCAACCATTAATAATAGGTTAGAGTTAGAATAAATTGCGTAAAGATCATTTTTTTGTTAGAACCTCAAAGGTGGTTATATTAATAAAATTTAAAATCTTATGATGTGGATGAGGAATATCAAGTCACCCTGGGTGAGAAATAAATATACACTTTGTTTATTTACTTTTTAAAAATTATTAGTTAGTTTTATTCTTATAATGATTGGATTATACTAGATATTTAAATTGACATATTGATTCTTATATTACTTAGTTCAATTTTCTAACTGCGAAATAATTGCCCTTTTAATAACCTATCATACCTTTTTTTGACAATTATTATTTCAATAACATTATACTCAAACTTACTTGTCATAAATTGAATAACATTCCCAATGGTTCTTCTCTTCTAAATAGGAATAAAGAAACCATTATATATCATTAATAATAGTAAAAATTTTTTGCATAAATCATTTGCTTATAAACTTTTATTTTTTAAAAAAAATCTAATATAATTATAAAAAATTATAAATAAAGCGAATTTTAGTTTAAAAGATGTGTGTTTTTTTTTGTTTGCTTACCAAACATTACTAGAAAATTTGAAAGGTAACAATTGATATGTAAATTTATATTTATTCTATCTTAAAATCACTTTTATTATTAATTTATAAATTTTAGTCATAATTTTTACAAAAAGAAAAAAAGAAAAAAGAAAATCATATATTGGAATAACTTTAATGTATTTGTACAATACCATATTATTCCATGTTCATTTGTTTAAGCAGAAATCGCACAGTAGATTCATGCTTTATAGCTGCTTCTTCTATTATTTTAGTACTTTGTTGTTGAAGCTCACATTTAAGGCTCATCATTTTAATTTGAGAACGTAACTTTTCGTTCTCAATACGTAAAGTTTTGACATTCCCTGAAGATCTTGTAGAATGACGGTTTATGGTAAAATTTTGACTAGCATTATTTATGGCGGCTTTTAAATTTTCAATCTCCGAAGTTAATTTTTGATTTTCCTCAGTTAATAGATCTTTGGTTTTTTGAAGCTTAACAATTTGTTCTTGATCACTTTTGTGCCTAGAATCAAATTGTTTTTTTATATTTTCCAGCTCCAATTCCAAATCTCTTGCTTTTTCATCTTTTTTATTACATGATACTTCCATGCAAGCTAATTGTTCTTGAAGCTGTTGTAATTGTAAACGAGCATTTGAAAGCTCAATTTGTTTGTCATTCAACTCTTTCTGAGTTTGGTTATTTTCTTGGGTTAATTTTTCATTTTTTGCTTGTTGATTTTTCCAATCATTTTCAATTCGCATAACAGCCTTATGATAGTATTCTCTTTCTTGAAGTATGGTAGCAATTGTTTCATTTCTAACAGATGGTTGATTCATCAAATATGATAAATCCTAAAGAAAAAGAAAAAAAATTTAGTATTCAACAAAAAAAAAAAAAATCCAAAAAAAAAAAAAGAGGGGGAATATATAAATTATACTTACCATTGAATTAGTGTCTTGATTATGAGTTGTAGCTAGACAATTAGTTTTCCTGTCTTCAATTTTATATGTCTCATTTTCACTATCAGAAATTATAGATTCTGAATCTGAAAGATGGTCTTTTACCGAAGATGGAGTTGTAGGAGGAGGTGTTTCAAGTGCTGCCTTTGGTTGCTTCGATGAAAAAAATTGTTTTTCTAATTCATCAATACTTTCATAATCACGGGAAATTTTACCAGTCCGTAACTTTTTAACACTAAAGTTATTTTCATCCTTTTCAATATAATCAATAAAACTTTCACTATCACTCATAGGCCGTTTTGTTGCAGAAGGTGAAATTAATTTAATATTAGCAAACACACTAGATGTGTTTTGCGCTTCTCTATTTGGTTGAGGATTGGAAGTTTCATCATCACCGATAATAGTAGATGTTTCACTAGGTGTTTCTGGGTCTATTGGAGACATATTTGAAGGAATACTATTGCAGTTTTGCAATCGACCGTCAGTCTCATTCATCAAAATTTGTTCTAATGCTTTAGGTTCATCTTCAGATGAAATAGTCATAGATGAAGCTACGGAAGACCTTCGGCAATCTTGCCGGGTATCCTTTGTAAAATTTTCTTTCCTGTTTTTTACATTTTTCCAATCTTCTATTAAAGCTTGTGTGCAGTTTTTCTCTGGTTCCTAATCAAAATGATATAATATTAAAATAAAAAGATGATCGAAAATAGTATTTTAAGATTAACAAGTTTAATCAAGATAAAACATATAAGGATAGATTATTTTAAATATTTATGTACCCAACTCGGCTTCCATGGGTCACCGTTCTGGTCCACGCCTTTCCACTGAACAAAATAATGGGAAATACTGTTTATTATTTTTTCATCCAAGATTCGTACCGCTTCCCAATAATTTCCTTTAGGCATACTATATAAAAATCGAATGTAATGACCTATGAACAGTATCGGATAAAAGGCCGGTAGTTTATAATAATTCTTTATGAATGCTTTATCAATTTAAAGTTTTTGAGCTAAGACGCACAAAGTTATAAAAAAATATTTTTAGAGATTAATATTTATAGTTTATAATAATCTGTGGCGCAGTTTTTACTATAAAGGACGGGACCGGCCGAGTGAACTGTTTTTCGGGTTTCAGAAAAAAGCCTTGAACATAGCACTGGTTTATATATTATGTCAGAGGTGTAACACAATATCAGGACTGAACAAAGAAAATCCTGAGTTTAAAAAAAAAAAAAATTATAACATAAGTGTCACTCTATCATCATGCAATCATGCATATTTGATATCTAAACCAATAAATCAACCACTTAATTAGCAAATTAGCACATTAATGTGTAACCTCGAGACATCCAACAAACCAAAAACTACTAATTCTGCTGTGACAAAAGTGCATTTACAGATTTTTGAACTGGACTTATTGTTGTCCTATTACTTTCGGTGTTATTATTTATTATTACAATGTAAATTTGCATCATCTTGTCGCGAATGGTTAAAGTTGGAATATTTGGTGAAACATCTCGCTAAATTATTTAACCGAATAAAGATATATATAAAACGGTACTCCTGATAATTCAGTAATTCAAATTATTCTTGTTCAGATTGAATTACTATAAACAGAGTATTGAAAGTATTAGCTGGAATGAGTAACGATAGGCACTTCTGCAGCATGCGAAGGATTTGTTGGGGATTTCTTGCAAACTTAATCGAACCTTTTGTCGAACATTTTAGCCGTAGGTGACAATTGCTTGGCATAAAATTCAATTATTATTTTCGCAACCTCATTGCATCAATCGTAATACCAATTCTTATAATTGATAAAAAGTTTCTTGTGTATTCTCTAATGAGAGTTCTTGTTAGCAAAATGGAGACAGGCTTTTTTCTTCATTTATATTACCAACAATTAAGATTACTAAATTACAAGTACTATATATATCTTACAATTCAATTAATGTCTAATCAAGCTATATACCTTTTAAGAGAAAAATCTTATTTCATGACATATAAACTGCAGTTTAATAAAGGGTAAAATAATATTTGAATGCTAACTTCATGAAATAAGGTTACTCTAGAATAGTATAAACTAATACTGTATCTAAAACTATGTACAAAACAGTTCGACCTAAAAGTCACGTATACCGATATGAGGTCAATTCGACATTAGTTAAAAAGGCTTACTTATTGTAAGAAATTGACTTTACCCTGATAATAAAAAGTCGATTTCATTACTGACACTTTCGTAACCCCTTATTATATATTAAACAAACAACTGGGACTCAATCTCATATACGTAAACTTGCGTATATCAATGCCAATAATATATCTATAAGCTTTCCTGCTAAATTTTGATACCAGGCAATTTATCCAGTCATAAAATATTACAGTACTTCCAGTAAAACGTGACAATAAAACAATTAAGGGTTATGCAAGTGTTGAATACGACTGTACGTATGTAATTTTCACAAGAATCAATCAGGATGATTGATTTGATCTGCAGGTGTGACCATATTTATGATCATGTATTCCAAATAAACTTATCCCGAATATATACCCTTAAAGTAAAATTCTTTGGCTTAAAACGGCTTAAAATTCTACCATTAACTAAATAATCTTTTCATTGTGCCCCTTTTGCATTCATTTCTAAATTTGTAAATAGTATGAGTACATAAATATCATTGATCAACCGGAGTACGTTGAACTTTTGTCCGAAATAAATTTAATAAAAACATTTATTTTTTCTTTTTTTTTAAATTTTCAAAAACTCTTATTATTATTATTATTATTATTATTATTATTGTTATATATATATTTTAAAATCATACATTTGATTATAGATTGTTAAATTGTGATTTTTTAAAAAATATATATCTTATCAAGATTTTATATTTATATTTTTATATATAGCGGGCTTTATATTTAATATCTTTTGCTTAAACTATTAAATTTATAAAAAAACTTATTAAATATTTTTTATTTTAAAACCTATATTATTTTAAAATTATACGATATTATAAATAGTCTAAAATTTTGACATTTATATATAAAAAACAAAATTTAAACTTATTGCACATTTTTAAATTATCAATAAATTCAAAACTGTATTAAGTTTTTTGTAGATTTATTAGTTTTTTTATCAATAAAAAGTAATAGATATATTTTGCTATTCAATACTATTTATATCATTTCATAATAACAATTAGTTATATACTGTAGTTAATATAAAATGGTTCATTATAAATAAATATCTTTTAAATATAATTTAAAGATAATTTCTATTTGTACACTGTGTATATACACGAATAAGTTTATATTCAAAATTTTGATTATATAACAGCTTTGGGGGTAATAACAAAAACAATGTCCTTTACAAAATTTAATATAAACTATAATTTTTCTCAATCCCAAAGCTAACTCTAATCTTAAACTAGATCCCGTGTATAAACACTATATGTAAAATTTATAAATTTTCTTAATAAATTAGCTAGTTTTAAAATAATATATAAATGTAAAACACCATAGGTGCGTCTTAGGAAAAGTCTAAAAATATTGCGAATACTAAACTATTTTAATAATTTTATTACTATTGAAATTTTTATAATCTAAAAAACATTTTATTTGGAAGTTAAAAATTTATTCAGTATTATACTGTATTTCATAATTAATTTTATAATTAATTAATTAATTAATTTATTATTTTTTATAACATAGTTGAAGTTTTTACTATATATTTACTGTATATATAACAAATAGTATACTTTTTAGATTACAAAATATTTTATCTCTAAACAAATTGAACTATAAATATAATCCGTAAAAAGTTGAAAGCTTAATTGCTAAGCTATAATATCCAAATTTCTGCTAACATATTATATAAAATTTTATAAAATAAATTATTTAATAATAATATATAAAAAAAAATCTTAAAAGCAAAAATAATTCTGTGGTAGTTTAGTGCTAATCTGTGATTTAACATGCTTAAAATATAAAGAAGTTTGCTACTTATCACCACTGGTAATCATCACCAATTTTGCTATATTTCAAAAACCCACTAAGTAATTAGAGTTGGGATACTAAGTAAAATGTTCAAAAACCTTATGCTAACTAAAAATTTAATTCTTTATATATAATCCTATCTTGCACCCTAACACTAAATTTTAGCAAAAAACTATATTAGTGTTGTAATTCGTAGTAATTCCAAATATAAAATGTGCAAATATTAAAAAAAATAATTCTTTTAAAATGCTAGTATAGTAATTACCGTAATTTGTACAATTTTATATATTTTGTGTATGTTTAGTGAATCAGTTTCACGTAATTTACAAACCGCATGATATGTAGTTCAGAGTCGGCGATTGAGGAGTTACAATTCAGATCATCGATGCTATAATACTGGCCAAACTTAAAAGCTATAGTACTTTATACATAACGGGATGAAATCCGATTTACAACTTATTGTTACGCAAAATTACATGCATTGTAAGATGTAACTTTCGTAACACAACCTAAGCATTGTTGACTGGAATGTTCTAGTGAGAATTAAGATCATTGGACCTGATTTGATGAAATTGGAAGCACATCAGCCGATTGTCACTGGAATGTTCTAGTGAGAATTAAGAATCATTGGACCTGATTGGATGAAATTGGAAGCACATCAGCCGATTGTCACTGAAAGTCTCAAGCGAGAATTTTTTCTTAACTGGAAGGGCATTTTAATGATATCCAGGGGTTTCCTATGGTAAATACACATAAAACTGGTTATATTGACACGTTCCACCTATGAAAAAGTTTTACGGAATTTTAAATGAATTATATGGAATATTTGGTATAATTCCGTATTACATACGGGATTCGCCGCAAATCCGTATTATATATACGGTGGGAAATGTTGTGGAAACTATAAATAAATGGATTAACTCCTGTGTATTCTGTATATTGAATGTGCTATCAATTACATTAATATTAAATTTAAATGTTTCCTTATGCATATTCCGTATATAAAATATGGAATTTGTGGCGAATTCCGTATATAATAAGGAATTGTACCAAATATTCCGTCTAATCCATTTAAACTTCCGTAAAACTTTTTTTCATAGGGCAAAAACAGAGAAATTGCTCGATATATCCAGGTGTTGGTTTAACCAGAGACATTTTCAAATTAAGTATACTTGTTCAAAATTTTAAAAAATTCGATATAGCCAGATGTCGTTACATATATAACCAGAGTGATGTATATTGAGGAGTTCCAATCACTTCCTCAATTTTATTTTCCCAACATTCACCTCTTCATTTCGTTACAATATATGTATTCCATAACATAAAACCAACATATCTCATATTAAAGTGCGGCAACACCAGCCAATCAGAGAGCTTCATTTCGATGATCCTCAATTTACCAATCACATTGCATAACCTATACCATGTGATCAATATAGTAACTATGTATGTTGGTTTCGGATTATCCTAAAATAAAAAGATTTCTTCAAAATTCCCAAAATGTCCAAATTATTGCTAATGCGAAACCACTAACGATTGATGTAAATATACTTTGCAACACGCTTTGCTTCGGGCTGCAGATCTACAACGTAGTTTATTGGTTGGTCATTAATATAAAGAAATCGGTGTTAAAAGAATGAACACAAAGCGTTCGAATATTATCAAAAATATGATAGTAGTTTATTGCGGTTTGCAAAATTGTGATCAAAAATCGATGATTTCGGATATTTTTTTGTAGAAATAGAAGTTATAGATCATTATTTTATAGTATCTTTTGTAGGAATATAGTTTGCACATTCATCATGTTGTAAAGAATTTGATTGTGCAGTGCAAACAACCTAGTCCTGACAAATAAAATTGATGAAATTCAAATTGTCAATTCTTCTTCAAAATAAACACAAAATATTATCTTAAAA